GCAAACGGTTAAGTGTGGGAGAGTTTGATAAGCCGTTAATTGCACATGTTTTTACCCCTATTCTGGAACCGTTTGAGGTGTTGATTCTCGTGTTTTAGGCCGATTTCACGCTAGGTTGTGTTTTTTTATGATATTTCAGGTCCTAGAAAGTGAATGAAGGTTTAGGAGCGAGTTCGGGGTCGATTGGATGAAGATCGGGCGCGAGGCAAGTCAAAAAGGAAGCCACACGGGCACAATCACAACCCACACGGCCGTGCAAGTGACCAATATGGCCGTGTGGGATTGTGAGAGACCTCACACGGTCACAAATATTTTCCACACGGTCGTGTGAAGTTGCAATTTGGCCGTGTGGAATTCTGCGAGGCTTCACACGGCCAGGATGGGTGAGCTACACGGCCGTGTGACCCTGGCCGTGTAAGAAGCCTGAAATCCAATTATTCGGAACGCGGCGTTTTAACCTCACACGGGCAACTGGGTATGCCACACGGCCGTGTGGCCCTGCCCGTGTGAGTCGGGAATTTCTGGTTTTCACCCAATTTCGGGCTGCAAGTGGGAGAATCGAGTTTTCAGAGCAAAAAACAGAGCCCTAGAGAGAGAAAGTACGAAGAACACATCTTAGAAGCTATCTTGGAGTTGGGTTTCATCAAAAAGCTTGGAGATCGCCATAGGAGTGGAAATCATCATCCCAGAGCAGATTTTCCTCATCTTTATGAGTATGACTACTCTGTATTCTGTTTTCGTCTCTCTCTCTCTCTCTCTCTATGGAGTAGAACCCTTCTCTCACTTGGGTATGAAGAACCCTAGTTCTATGTGTTAGGGATTTGATTGTAATGACTTGGGATGATATTACTGCTTGGTTTTAATCAAATGATGCATGTTTATTGAGTCAATTGAAGTCTAATCAGCTTTTCCTGATTTCTGCTGCAACCTGAGATAGATAGAATCTGATTAGGTTGTTAGAGCCTCATCATTCGGTAGTAGGAGATTGGCTATACGAGAGTTAGCCAGTTTACTGCTTTGTACTGGAATCCAATTCCAGTAGTGGAGTTCTGTTCTCATTGCTTCAGCTTTCTATCCCGGTGAAGACTAGTCGTCTGCTGGGTAGTTAGACTGAGAGGGCTTGGTCAGCTTAAGAGATTCCAAGCTACTGTCGGATCTTCCGCAGTCTCATCAACAGTAAATCAACCCAGGGAAATTACAATTGAAACCTAACTAAGGAGCTAGGGGGACTCATTCCCGAGTGACTCTTCTTTGCTTGAGAAAACCGTACCAATTCCTGCTTTCTTTCTGCTTTTGCTTTAAACAACAATCACTTAACTTAGTTGGCTAGATAATAGAGAATCACGGAGTAAGCAGTAGATCTAGACCCCGGGTTGATAATAGAACTTGTCATTTTACTGCATTCCCGGACTGCGATTATACTTGGTCGCAGTTTGGTGTTGTGTTTTGGCGTGTCACCAACATAAGAGTTTGTTACCCTATTTCAACTATTTACATTCACAACATTGCATGAAGAGGGTTTCCATGAATTTCCAGAAACAAGTGTGGGATTTGTGCATTAGTGGACGAGTACAAGGATTAGTGATTACATACCTGACATCAGGTACTGAGCTGCTATAATTTCCCCCGTTTTGGTTGTCCACATATTTAGTGATTGCCTCTCTAGGAATAGGCTGTGGTCACTGCATTATTTGTGAGTTTTTGTGTTGGTTTAAAATGGTGCTTCTCAGTTTCTTAAGTTTATTATGCTGCAACACCAATTGGGAGTTCAAATACCATCTTTCATACATCAAATTCACACTGCAATGTTGATCATAATTCAATATGGAAACTGTATACATATCATTACATCTGTCTGTTTTGCTCATTGTTTAAATTGCAATCAGATGCACAGTAGGTAAATAGAAAATTAGCACGTTCATGAGAGCGTGGTGTTTTGGGTTTTCTGTGGCTAAAAAAAAACAGTTCTTGAGACACTCTAATCTTACCGATTTGGTTTAGTTTGTTGATTAATTCTCTCTACTCAAAGGGTGCATTTTGCAGGTATGGTACAAGAAGAGAAGAGAGTCGAGGGACTGTATGCTCAGGTCGAACCATTAGTTGGGATTTCCATATGGTGTGGTGAGTTTAATCGGTTGCTGTTTGCTTTTAATTTTTTTGTTTTCCGCTAAATTCTCGGTCTGTTATTTCTCTTTGTCATCTCGGCAGTTGTCCAGTTCTGCTTATTAGCTTGCTCCTGATAAGCGAATAAGGAAGAAGCAGCTTAGAGCCATGAATAAGATGAAGAAACTTGCGTTGAAGGTAATGCTTTGGTGCTTTGGTTATGATTGAGTGTTTCCCCCGTGTTATGGGGTCTTAAACTAAATGTGTAGCAAGCATACAAAATAATGAACCCTTCTCAACTCTAACTTTTTTCATGAGGGGGTCTAAAACTTAACAATAGCATCCCATAATGCATGATCGAAGGTAACCGTCTTCATAGTTGCTTCCAGTCTACTTAACTTTTTTTTTCGTTGAATCAGTCTACTTAACTTCTCTTATAAGATAACAAATATATATATATTATTTACTATTATGTGATACATAGTGGTTTGCAGTTTCCATAATGCAACAGAACATAAGTAATCATGTTCTTACCAAACAGTGACAACTTGAATATTTGCAACTCAAGTTGAAAGGTCAGAATTATAGGTTCTCAATAGTCAATACCCTTCCACCCCATAGACTACTTGATCACAACAAACATCAGTAGTTTACTAACTTAAATTCTCCTGAACAGTGTTTAAGTGTCTAATGAACTAGGAGTCGGTAACCACAGAGCTGGAAAATTGGTGATGATTTGTGTGCACCTAATTGACCATGGCATGGGTCTGTGATTAGTGCAGCCGTGCAGGTTGGCACAACATATGGCGACAAAGCTCGCAGGAATCAAGTGAAGAATATATAGCTCTCATTGAAACATGACACGAAGTTTCATAAATCAGTGTTTGAGGTCAATGCCATACGGGACCTGCTTGCCCTTGCCGTCGAAACACGTCAAGACTCTCCATGTCCTTTTGTGATATGAAGATTTCCCTCTGTTGGTAGTGTGAGCCATAACTTATTTTGCTTCAATCGTCTGGCTGTAATATGTTTGTGTACACTTTGCATGCCACAACACTATTTATCTTTCCTATGGCTTGGAAATTATTGAAGATTAATGTTTCTTGACAAACCATATGCTTTTTAGTTTTAGTTTCAAAATGTGGAGGTCATGTTGCTTACAAGGTGTGCACTACTTAATTGCCCCATCAATTGGGCATATCCTCCCAATCTACAGTTTCAAATTTAGTTGCATATGATTGATGTGTGTGTCTCTCTTTTTTACGCTCTTTCCTGGCCGTACTTAGCTATTGCTAAACAAGTAGCGAATAGCAATTAGCTATGAAACTAGGGATACAAACATCTCCCAAACACACTTCCAATGCTCTGAAACCATGTCACTGGCAATAGTAAAACGACAACAACTTCCAACAATTGAGCTGCCCATGTTACAATTGTGTGGCTGCAACTTAAGTTCCCGCGGCGTAGCAACAGGTATTGATTCTAGTAACTCTAACAATCACAACTTCCAAACGACCCCTGCGTATCATTGTCGAACATTACAACCCTTAACGCTCCCATTTTCAACGGCTCTTTTGTATTACACAATCCATCTCACAACGATCCACACCTCCCTTTTCCCAACAAAGAAATTCCCATGGGGAAATAAAGTCCCTTTAGAAGCTTAACCCAAAATGCTTCGGTATTCTCAAAGATCCTCCATACCTGCTTGCCAACAAGAGCCAATTTAAAGAGGTGAAAATTCTTGAAACCCAACCTCCATCCTTCTTCGACTTTTCTAGAGTCCAACATTAATTGTTATAGAGTGTTATAAGATCCATCATAACTTTCTCACAACAACTCAAGTTATTGAGACCAACTGGTGGTATCAAAGCTGGTTTGTCCAAGTGGTCGTGTTCAAATCTCCACGACCCCCAATATTAACAGCTGATTAAAGCACAAGGTATGGTGATCGCCTGTACAAACTTCAAGCCCATGGGTTGGCTTTCGTTTGAGGGGGCGTGTTAGAGAGTGTTATAAGATCTAGCATAACATTCTCCCAACAACTCAAGTTATTTGGACCAACTGGTTTATAGCAAACATCACGTTAATGGATTGATCTCTTCTTTATAGAGCCGATCAAAAGAATTTACGAAGAATCGAGTTCATTTTATGCGTAAAGGTAAAGAGGAAGAAGTAAACACTCACAATAAAAGTTGGAATGGCTTGAATAACCGCATTCACCAATGTTTCCTTACCATATGGAGAGAGGAGTAAGTTATTCTAAGAATTACCTTTCTTCTCTAGAGCACTTCTACCATACTATATAGCATCGGTGCTTTAATGTACAACTTAAAATTGTACCATAACATTAAATGTATAAGTTTAGGTTGTACCATAAAGGAATTTGTATCATTATGTTATGATACAACTTTACAACTTGAAGTTGTACCATCAAATAAATGTATAAGTTCAAATTGTACCATAAAAGAATTTGTACAAAATGTATAGGTACAATATGAAGTTATACCATAACGTTAAAGGTACAATTTCAAGTTGTACCATAAAGACAAAAACCTATAGCATCAATGCTATATAGCATTATAAAATTCCTCTCTTCTCCATTCTTTCTTTCTAAAACGAAATAAAAAGAACCATGTTGTCATGGAAGATGTGGTGAGTAAGTCCTGGGCAGTTTTGATTTAGCTTGATTCCTTGGATAATAGTACCCCTCTCAATTACATTTTCAGTAGAAAAGGATAGTGTTACATGGATAAATAATTCATTTCCCAACTCCTCTTGATCTTGAAGGATAAGTACACTAATGCCTCATGCAGTATTATAGTTCACATGAGGCGTTTCTTATTCTACTGTATTACTATACTATACAAATGTGCAATTCTTACATACTATCATGATACACAACAAATTTCATGCGTATTAAAAATATTATCGTGATGCATAACTAAATTATCTTTAAAAAATTACTTTTCGCCCAACTAACAGTGCTCAAAAGTCAAAACTAGTATATATGCTACACCAATGCATAAAGAAAAAAGAAAAAGAAAATCCAAAATGAAGGCATCTTTGAAAATTAAAGCAAGGCTTACCGTGAATTCACCCTTACCCTAGCGTGTCTCTCAGGTAACTCCTTTGTCCAATAAAACCAGCGCCTTGAATGACATGACATCACAATTTACACATGAAACTTTCCGAATTTAATTAAAATCTCCCTCACACAAAAATAAAACCTTTCAATTTCATTAATTATTTTCATAACAGCCAGAGAGAGAAAGTCATCAAACCATGACGTGGCAGTTTGACCCATTCTTCTTCTTCTTCTTCCTCCCTTCCCTTTCATCTTTCCCTCCTCCTCTCTTTCTCCTCTGGGAAAATTCAACCAATCCAATCCTTTTTGCCGCTGCGCTGGCCCACCGAGTCGATCTCAACTCGCTTCCCCCGTCCAACTCAGTCGCCCCTTTTCATCGTCTTCTTCCTCTCGATTCTGCTTTCTCAATATACCCTTTTGGGCTTCTTTCGTTTGAATCTGACTATAACTCCGCCATTTCCAGCTCTTACCAGGTCGCAATTTCTTTCCTTTCAATCTTCTACTCCCTTTCACCTTTTAGACCGAGAAAAACGAAACTGAGTGACAGATAGAAAGAGAGACGGAAACAGAGTGTTAATTTTGATTTGGGTTTGTCGTTGTAAGTCTAGTCAGAGGGTTTAGGTGAAGAGGGAAAGGAAAAGGGGGCCATTAGGAGCTTTCATTATTGACTGTGTTTTGTTTATTGTTGAAAACAAAAAAAATGGCGACTCCTTCCCCTTCCAGGGAAGTATCCTTTCATGGGTTCCATCCCCTTTTCGTAGAATTCCATTGTTAACCCACCACCAAATTTCCTTTCCTTTTTCTCTCCTTGCCCCTCTTTTTTCTCTGAAATGTTAGGCCAGGAGGAAACTAATAACCCCCTCCCTCCCGCGGCCGCCCGGAAAAACTATCTCCGGTCTGTTTCATGGAGCGACCGTTCACCGCGCCGGCCGAGCAACAACCCTAGACCTCACCAGCCCTCGAATCACAGCAAGGCGAGGTCATGTCTCCCGCCGCTCCAGCCTTTGTCCATAACCAGAGCTCCGGTTGAAGAATGGCCTCGGGCCGGGTCCGACGATTTGGGAATCTGGCCGAACCCACAAACTCCCAGAACCACCGGCGCCGGCGGCTTCCCATTGACTCCTCAGCCGGCGGCAGCTCACAACTCCAATCCTCCTGTGAGGGAATTCCAGTTCAAGAGAGAAAAATTGGCCTTCTTCGACAAAGAATGCTCCAGAATCGCCGACCACATTTACCTCGGAAGCGACGCGGTGGCCAAGAACCGGGAAGTTCTCCGGCAGAACGGAATCACCCACGTCCTTAACTGTGTTGGATTCGTCTCCCCTGAGTACTTCAAAGACGACCTTGTTTACAAAACCCTCTGGCTGCAGGATTCCCCTTCAGAGGACATCACCAGTATTCTCTACGACGTGTTCGATTACTTTGAAGACGTGAGGGAGCAGAGTGGGAAAGTTTTGGTCCATTGTTGCCAGGGTGTTTCGAGGTCCACCTCGCTGGTCATAGCTTACCTCATGTGGAGAGAAGGCCAGAGCTTCGAGGATGCATTTCAGTATGTCAAAGCAGCTCGAGGTGTTACCAATCCCAACATGGGGTTCGCTTGCCAGCTTCTCCAGTGCCAGAAGCGTGTTCATGCTGTTCCGGCCAGCCCTAATTCGGTCCTTCGTGTGTATCGAATGGCTCCTCATTCACCTTACGATCCTCTCCACCTTGTCCCCAAGATGTTGAGCAATCCAGGTTTGAAAGGACTAGACTCTCGTGGAGCTTTCGTTGTTCATGTTCCTAGTACCATATTTGTTTGGATAGGGAAGAAATGTAGCCGTGTGATGTTGAATCATGCTAGGGTAGCTGCAAGTCAGGTGATTAGATACGAAAGGGCGAAAGGTCCGATTGTTATTGTTCATGAAGGGGAAGAAGGGAATGAGTTTTGGGATGCTCTTGGGACTAATGATGATGGTGCTGGTGTTTGTAGTAGCAGTAGTAGTAGTGATGAAAGGAAAGTTGATGCGTATGATTCAGATTTTGAGGTCTTTGATAAGGCAGTTTGTGGAGGGGTTGTCCCACCTTGTTCGGTATCGAATGCTGAATTCGAGACTCGCCTTTCTGCAAGTGAGAATGGGTGGGGGAGGCTTAGAACGAAGTTTGCTAGTGGTATCATGAAGGAGTTCATCAGTTCATCCTCCAAAATGGATGTAGATTCAGTAATATATGAAGGTGAAGAAGATGTGGAGGAAAAAAAGATTCCAAGTAAGGACACATTGTCTTCGTCGACTCCTTTTGGTTCGCCTGATTCCTATCACTCTTGCTCACCGGACTCTGCTCAGAAATTCGGCTACAAGTCTCCTGCTACAATATCGCCTTCTGCTTCGGATTATTCGTCAAGTTCATTTACCTTTTCGCCCTCATCTTCAAACTGGTCTGACTTGTCGTATGTGTCTTCCCAACAGCCTTCCCCTTCTGGTTTGGAAGCTCTTAACTCACCTACAAAGGTGTTTCCTGTTGATCTTCAAACGAGTCATGTGTCGAACAAGGTAACTACTTCACCATCTATAGCAGAGCGAAGAGGGAGTAACCCTCCGCCACTTATTGTGAGTTGTGGGGCAATTCTGCAGCAACCTGAATTGGATGATGATGTGATGAAGGATGGTCATGGGGGGAAGGAGGAAATGACTGATGTTGATATGACTGGTGCGGATTATGACATTGCCGACAGAGAGGAAGATGGCAGAGTTCATATTAATCAGTTGTGATCTAGTTTTTCTCATTGCCATGGATCATCTGAATCTGCAGGTTATTGGAGCTTTTTCTCAACATGTTCTTTAAGTCAGAGTAAGAATGCTGAGAGTAATTGCCAGAAATGAGAGTCGAAGAAGTTTGGAGACAACCCAGATTCTTTTTCTTGCTCGGGTTATGTATTATGTAGAAAGTTTTTTTTTTTTTCTGATAAAAACATGTACAGGGCAGGGGAGTTACAAGTTTGTTGTTCAGGTCTCAAAATCATACCAAGAGTAATAAACATTTCCACCTAATAAAAGTAAATCAAGAAAGATTTTCCATTTCACCCCTTGTTGCTCAACTTTTACAGTGGCCAACAATAATATAGTTGTGACCTTTGCGAAATAAGGCAGCTGGAACAAAATTTGGAGCAGTCCTTTTCCCCTTTCCATTCTGCAGACAAACGAAAATGCTTCATATTCCATTTTGTGATCTTAATAGAGCCATTGTCGGCCCTAGAGCACTGCCTCTAAGCGCCTTGAAACTCCATTGGTTTGTGCCCGAACTCTCGGTGACCGTCCAGTTATTATCCTCATGCGACAATTCTGCTTTCTTTGCATTCAAAGCTTCGCTGATCTCATCCCATGGGCTCTTCGTTGCTTCTCTTTTTTCTAACAAGTATAAACAATGGAAAGTGAGATGATATTCGTGGATGATAAATGAGATTGTTGTGTTAGCAAAGAACCAAATTAGCAATCAGTACCTTGACTAGATGTGTGATTTTTTGCGCCATTTTCTGCTGTACCTTGAACTTCATTTGGAGAGGCTTCATTGACAAGATTGGACTTTACTGACCCAGCACTGCTAGGGTTCACAGCACGGACTTCCAGAAGTGAAGTAAAATCCATCTGGAGAGGTACAGCTTTAACAGTCAATTCGTCTGATAGTAGAAGAGGGGAAGTAGAAAATTGTTGTTCTGTGAGTTGTTTTACTGACCTCTAGAGAGCCATCTTCTTGTAAAGAACAAGTTTCTGGAAGCCCCTCAGATTCTTCATCATCTAGTTTGTTCTCGGGGATCAAAGGATACTTCGGAACTGCAACCAGCTTGATCTTATTGGTTTGAGGGTCGAACTTTGATATCTTCCCTACCTACAGATGACATAAAAGGAAACTCATTCTACGCTCTTCAAGAGAATATTGTGGAAGAAATACAAGTGAAGGAAGAACAGTACTAAGTATGGTGAGAGCTCAGGTGTCCATGACGACGATAGCTGAATGAGACGATAAGCAATAACGTCCCCTTCCTACAATATTTGTCAGAACCTGCTTGACTCTTCAATCCACATACCAAATAAGACTGAAACAGAGGTCAAAATAATTAAGCATAAGAACAAACTTAACCTTGGGTGAATTCGTATAAGCTGCAAGCTTATCGAAGTCGATCTGATTATAAACAGAAGTTGGTTCTTCCACTGGTTGTGTTTCAGAAGGTTTCTGGCCAGAATTGGCATCGTGATTCCATGTTTCAGATGGTTTGTGGCTGGAATTTGTGTTATCCTTCCATCTTTCAGAAGGTTTATTACTGGAAATTCCATTATCATTCCATTTCCATGATGCACTTTTCTGTGATCCCCATTTTTGACCTTTCTTTTTGCTCATCCCATCCCACTGAGAAGTTTCCTGAAGCAGCATCCAGAAAAGAGAAAACATAAGAGTTCAGCATCCAAAGTTGGAGACTTTAATTAAAACTGAAATTACTACACTAAAGAATTGACAATCCCCAGAATGAAACCTACCAGCAGTGTTTGATTTTGTTGGACAGGCTGATCAGCACTACCTGGAACAAGAACCGTGTTAAGAAATAAAGGTGAAGTACTGAAAGCAATAATACAGTGGCTGAAAGGCAGACCATTATAATCATTTGCACCTTTCTGAAGTGGCTCAAAACGGATATGTCCTGGTCTTATCACTACTGGTACAACATCATCATCTTTATCACTACTATCTTTTTCTGGTTGTTGATTTTCCACCTGAACATGTGTGCTATCACCCTTAGTAGGAACCTCTCCCACCAAAGAGTGGCTTTGTTTGTCGGCTGGTTCTTCAATTGCTTTGTGATTCTTCTTTTGACAAGCTTTCTGGTTAGATTTTGAAGACAATTGCTTCTCCTCTTCTTCCTGAAAGATTCAGCATTCAGAACCAAAGGCATTATAAACAGGAAATGATTTCACTGGTTGTTTCAGTGCTATTTGAGTTATAGTATGAGTGTATAGTATGAGTGTATGACCAACATACTTTCTTTTCAGCTCTTCGTAGCTCCCTCAACCATTGTCTCTTGGCCTTCTTACGTCGAGCACTTCTACTTGGGAGCTGAAACACAAGGCATTGCAAAGCTGAAGTCAAACTTGGAATTGGATGTCCAAAACGAAGGAACGTATCGTCAAATTCAAAAGTTGTTCACTGAAAACAGAAAGATAATATTTTAGCCACGTAACAGCATCGCACTGATAGTGCCATCAAGATACCTTTATAGTTTCAGAAAGTGGACAAGATGCATCCACATGATCAGAACAGCAATCTTTAGGCTCACTTGATCTGGAAACAAAAGAAAAACAAATAGAACACTATAAGAGAGCTGAAAGCATTACAAACATCATCGGCATCCATACTACATTACATTGACCACTGTTCTCACAGCAAAGTCCCAGATTTGATAAGAACATAAGCAGATCAGGAATAGAGGCTGGGACAGGAATTGCTGCAGCCTGCAAGCTAGATTAAACCAAGAGAGAGAGAGAGAGAGAGAGAAGTCTGTTCTCTTATCTCAGATGAACAAACAATTGTCATAAATTGTTAACTACACTAATATCATGGACAATAGGGGGTGTCATACTCAAAATCTCAACTCAACTATATCTTACCGCCAACAGAACTCCGACCTAGCAATCCTTGCAAGCAATTAACAAGCAAATTCAAAATGACTAGGGATCCTAAACATCATATAAGCTAAAAGACCAGGGAACAAGAGTAAGCAAGATTAAAAGGACCTACTTCTTGGTATTTGGAGTGCCATCCCTAGCCTTGCTATCTTTCTTAGCCTTCTTATCAGCAGCAACATAGGTTTTTGTGCCCTTTTGAGAACCAACATTGTTTTCAGTATCTGCTGTACCAACTCCACATTTCTCAGCACTAGAAGATTTCTTCTTCCTCTTCTTCTTCCTGAAAATTCAAACTACCCGCTTTACATGAACTTTCCACCATTGCATCTCATCCAGTCCACATTTAATAAAAAATGGCAGTAAAACTTCAGTCTTTTTACAACAACAAAGAGAGGGGCACAAACAAAGAGAACATACTTGGAACTCCCAGGTTCCTCGGACGCCTTCCTCTTCTTCGAAACCTTCTTCGTTTCCAGGGGTTTTTCATCCAGATGCAATATATCATCCAGCTCAGCATCCTCCTCCTCCACTGATTCATCGCTCTCATAGCCACCAGTTTCCTTTTCAAATTCTTCATTCGCCAGAAGCTTCATGGGTGCTACAGCAGCAGCTAAAGCCCGATTACCCACAAATCCCAACATTCCCAAATTAGTCCTCTCTTCCGCATCATCACCCAACTTGGCAAACTCGCCACTCTTCTTCTTAACCCTGACAATATCTCCGTCCTTCAACACACTAGTCGACTCGAATGGCGGTAGAAAGAACCCTTCCATCTGGCAAACGAAACATAAACAAAGAATCACAAACACTCTCCAATTCTGAAATCAGAGGGGGAAAAGGTAAGCGAGAGGTAGCGTTTGTTTACAGATAGGAGAAGGCCGTCGGGGCATGCATTGTGGAGGTCGAAGGCGTCGAGAAGGTAATGGGAGAGATCGGAGATGGTTCTGTGTTGAGGTTTTAGGAGGACCCAGAAACGTCTCAATCCGTCGGTCTTCTCAAGAGACTCGGATAGAGCTCGGTCGAATGCAAATCGGAGCCTCACCGTATCCATGGCGGGAAAAAATGATGCAGTCGCCGGCGGTAAGTAGAAAAGGTCTTAAACCCTGTGCCTACGCTACGCGAGAGGGTTCTTCGGTTGCGGTTGCGGTTGCGGTGCCTGGGTTTCTTTTGATCCGACCTGCTCGCTCGGTCAATTTTCTGCTGACTAGGAAGATGTACGGATGGCGGACACACAGTGGACTGGGCTTCCGAGCTGGGGTCTTTACCCCTCAAGGCCTGAAGTGGGCTCAACTTTCGGCAGACTGGTCTATGGGCTTTTGTGTTGGGCTTACGAGCAAATCTAAGTAGGGGTGGCTATACGGTCCGGTTAAATTGGCCCAAATTGATCCGGTCCAATCCGGTCTTTTTGAAAATATAAGGACCGAAGATTGGATTGGATACAGTCCGGTCTTGATCCGGTCCGGTTTGGATCCGGTCCGGTCCCAATTTGGTCTTGATTTTACATTGAGATTGTGGGATTTGAGTGGCCTAAGGCCTTAAGGGGTGAGGAGTTGGTTAAGTTTTGTACTAAGTGCAAAGGTTTGTGACCGTTTATGCAAATTACCCTTAAGTTTTGGGTGTTGAGCTCTCTTATCCGGTCTTTATCCGGTTTTTTACCTCAAATCTAAGCCCAAAGATTGGATTGTTTACTATCCGGTCCCGGTCCGGTCTCGGTCCGGGTTATACGGTCCGGTTTCCGGTTTTTAATCCGGTCCCGGTCCAAATAGCCACCCCTAAATCTAAGGGTCGTTCGTTTGGTTATGAACCTATAGTAAACAAGTGGCCAATACTATGAGTATGGGCCAATGATATCGTGCCGCTATAAAAAGTGCGAAACTGGTGACGCTCATTCTAATTGGTCCACGTGGAAATGATGTGACATGGGCTAGCTTAATTTAATCCAAGCCCAAACCGAATGACCTATGAAACTACCCAGGCCAACGTTAATAAAAGAGATTCCGTCTTCACGGCTATTTGGATACTTGAAAATTTATTTAACTTAACTGCATTTGTTTTTTTTCTTTCCTGTTACGGAAAGCGAAGGAGAAGGGAAAAGCTACATCCATTTTCCTCGATCTCTCGTTTGTTCATTTCTTTCCTGTCTACTAGTACTGCTTAGATTTTTGTACTTAGATTTTAGTATTTTTTCTGTTAAAAAGAGTGAACTCAGTTTATTACACACCATTGCAGCTTTTGAAAAGGAAAGGAACACAGTCCCACATGACAGAGTTCATGATCCAAAGTAGTCCTGATTGCATCTGGATTACAAGGAAGAAGAAGAGATGAAACGAAGAAGAGAAGAAACGTTTCTGAAGAAGAAAAGACGGTTGCCTTGCTTAAGTGGTGTTGCGCACCGTTTAGGCTTTGTAATAGATTAGCCATTAAAAGTACTGTTAGGATTTAAACACAGCTAGTCAGAACGTGACACTTGGCTTTTATATGTAATCCTACTTTCAAGCTGAATATAAAAGGGAAACAGAGCAGCAGCAGCTGACTCTGAGAATTCGGCCATTTCTTGCCCTAATTGTTGAAAGTTAACATGGTATCAGAGCGGCCGACCTAGGTCGCCTTCCGCAGCAAGATGTCCGACACCGCAGAGACAACCGACGAAGCCCATAATGGAGGTGGAGGATCTCAGCGCACCAGTGGCGTCTTCAACAACAATGCATCAAACTTTCGTTTTGGTTCGTTTGGAGCTGACCAGAATGGTGTCATCGTTTTTGGTAACCCTCTATATCTGAACCCGAATGAGAGTTTTGCACAACCCATTGTTTCTGAATCGTTGGATGGAAGTAACTACTCCATGTGGAGTAGATCTATGAAGAAGGCTTTAAAGATGAAGCATAAACTGGGTTTCATCGACGGATCTATGGTGATACCAGCCAGAACAGATCCAAGCTTTGCTTTATGGGATAGTTGCAACATCGCTGTTGTAACCTGGATATTGAACTCGTTGCAGAAAGATATTAAGAGATCTGTAATGAGCCATGAAAATGCTAAATATCTTTGGGATGAACTTCATCGTAGGTTTTGACAACTAAATGCCAACAGGTTGACAAATCTAGAGGATGAGATTCATAGATGCAAGCAGGGAACTATGACAATCACCCAGTATTACACTCTGATTAAAGGTTTGTGGGATGATATACAGAATACAGTCCAATTGTGGAATGTAATTGTTTACCAGGAAACCCCATTCCTTGTACTGCTGTGGTTGCCTATAATCAGAAACAGGAAACTGATTACCTCATCAGGTTTCTCCGAGGTTTAAATCCAGAATTTGAGGGAGTCAAGAAGCAGCTACTGATGTTAAAGCCTCTTCCAACAGTTGCTGATGCAGTGGATGATTTGCTTCAGCATGAACAAGAGTTGAAGGCAAATTCATCAGGCAACTCTAAGAAGTCACAAACTGTAGATCTTGCAGTTCAAGGAGATAATGCTAAGAGCACTGATGACAAAAATCCAGGCAAGAAGTATTGCAAATTCTGTAAGAAGACTAATCACAATATTGAAGAGTGCTGGACCTATAAGAGGAAGAGTAGGGAACAGGAACAAGGAGGTGGTTCTCACACAGGATCTCAGAAGTTTGTGGGATCTGTGTCACAAGCTAACTCCAGTGGGAGTGAGACTACATCAGAGGTTAGCTATCATAATGACAGCAATGTGGTAAGTCATTCTTCACCCAGTTTTACCCTAGAAGAAATGAACAAGTTGAGATACTTGCTGCATTGTGGTGCTAATAACCCTGTCCCAGCCAATCACACTTCCTCACCCTCACCACCTACCTCACCCTCCATTCACCACCAAGCTTACTCTGTGTCACAGTATCTACCTCCCTTTCCAAACTATACAGGTAAATTCACCCTATCCTCTTTCACAAACTTGAATTCATATAAGCCTGATAGTTTATGGATATTGGACACAGGGGCATCAGACCATATAGCTTGTTCCCTAGACTTGTTTACTGAGCATAGATCAGTACAGGATGTCTTTGTCCATCTACCCAACTGTACTAAGGTTACAGTAAGCCACATAGGAACAGTGAAGCTACCCTTTGGTCTATACCTTTACAATGTTCTCTTAGTTCCCAGTTTCTCCTTCAACCTAGTTTCAGTGAGTAGACTCACACATGACTTTCCTATATCCTTACAATTTCATCCTGATATTTGCCAAATCCAGGACCTTCTAAACAAGAAGACGATTGGTTTAGCAAGAGAAATTAAAGGACTCTACCAGCTTACCCTCACACAACAGCCACCAGACCAACCTTGTTCACATCCAAGCCAAGCTGCCAGTGTCTTCAATTTCAATCCCCACCAAGTAGACTTATGGCACTGGAGATTAGGACACCCCAGCAATGATAGGCTTAGTTTGTTACAGCATTCTGATTCCACTGTAACCCCTTCCAAAGTTGATCATTGCAATGTCTGTCACTTCTCTAAGCACAAGAAACTACCATTTCCTATTAGCACAAACAATGCAGTTAAGCCTTTTCAGCTTGTTCATGTTGACATTTGGGGACCATTGTCTGTTATGTCTTATGATGGATATAATTACTTCCTTACAATTGTTGATGATTGTTCAAGAGCTGTATGGGTTTATCTGATGCATGGCAAAAGTGAAGCTAGGAACCTGTTAAAAGGCTTCTGTGTGTTGGTTAAGAACCAGTTTGCTAGTACAGTTCAAATCATTAGGAGTGACCAGGGAAAGGAGTTTGACATGTGCGATTTCTTCATGTCTGAGGGTATTGAGCATCAGATGTCTTGTGTTTACACACCAGAACAGAATGCTAGGGTGGAACGCAAACACCAGCACATACTTAATGTAGCTAAGGTCTCTAAGATTCCAGTCTGGCATACCACTACAATTTTGGAGTGATGGCATATTACATTCTGTATACCTCATTAATAGAATCCCCACTCCAATTCTGAACAATCGATCTCCATATGAAGTGTTGTACAAGAAACCTCCCTTTCTTGGGAATCTTAGAGTGTTTGGTAGCCTGGCTTATGCCGGGACTCCTTCCTCTGGCAGGACAAAATTTGCCCCTAGATCCAGACAATGTGTCATGCTAGGGATACCACCTGGCATCAAGGGTTATAAGTTACTTGACATTCACACCAACCATGTTCTGATTTCAAGAGATGTGGTTTTCTACGAATCAATCCTTCCTTTCAGAACTGAAAATGTTGTATCACCACCACCTCCCATGCCTGATTCTGCTAGCTCTTCTGTTGATCCCAGTCCACCACCTGAAATTGTCATTCCTAGCCATTCCATCCCAGTTTCTCAGCCTCCCTTGTCTTCTGAACCTCAACCAATCTCAGCTGATGAGGGGGACACTACTGAAATGGCTTATGAAATGGCAGAACTTGAACCAGAACTGGAGCCCCAGCAGGAGTTTGAACCAGCAGCAAGGCCAAGAAGAAAATACCAGTTGCCCAACAAATATGCTGATTGTGAACTTGATTCCACACTACAATTTGGTGCTTTTGGACACAATGCAGCTGTTAGCAAATATCCATTAGCACTAAATGTGGATCACCTCAATTCTGTTGATAGAAAATGTGCACTCAGTGTTATTCAACAGGATGAGCCTCTCACCTATCAAGAAGCAATTAAGCATGAACACTGGAGGAAAGCCATGAGAGAGGAATGGGACTCCTTAGAAGAAAATCAAACATGGGACATAGTTCCCTTACCTCCAGGGAAGAAAGTCATTGGAAACAAGTGGGTCTATAAGATCAAGCTGAAACCAGATGGTTCCCTAGAAAGGTTCAAGTCCAGACTAGTGGCCAAAGGTTACACTAAGGTATATGGTGTCGATTTCCTTGATACTTTCTCTCCAGTTGCAAAAATCAATTCTGTCAAGGCTTTGTTAGCAATAGCAGCAGTCAAAAAACTGGACATTGGAACAAATGGATGTTTCAAATGCATTTCTACATGGAGACTTACATGAGGAAGTGTATATGCAATTGCCACCTGGCCTAGATTTGCAATTCCCTGGTCCTGAGAAGATGGTATGCAGGTTGAAGAAGTCTATGTATGGCCTAAAACAGGCATCCAGACAATGGTTTGCTAAACTCAGTGGTTTTCTTCTAAGGAATGGTTTTAGTCAGTCTGCCTCAGATTATTCATTATTCACAAAGTGGATTCGTGGCAGAATTGTAGTGCTATTTATTTATGTGGATGATATAAT